TTTCTGTGTGCTCTCGGGGGGGGGGGGGGGGGGGGCAGCAGCAAGCAGCAGATGTAAAAGTCATATTTGATTCAATTTGTATGTAAATATTTGTGTATGGCTCTCATTTTGGTAATTAATAGTCAGCTGTTTTCATGAAAGAAGTGCAGTCGTCTGATTGCGGCGAGCGGCCAATCCCTGGCTGCTCATTGATGAGCTGGAGGAGAGTCAAGTGTGAGACTGTATAGGAAATTATAATTAGTGGCTCTGAAGTGCCGATCTCCCAGGCCTGTTTGGCTGCTCATTGCTCCTCGTTGACAGCTGACGCTCATGTACGTCTCTCCCCCCTGCGCGGCTTTTCAAGAAACCATTTCATCCTTGTGTGCATATTAATGGGTCCTATAGGGATATGTGCTCTTCCTTTGATTTACTGTTAAATCAAGAACAATGAGATGCAGAAAGTGAGCACCTGTGTTAGCGGGGGGGACTTTATATTATATAATAGAGTGTTTATCAGTGGGGCCCCAGGTGTGCGCGCATTGCCCACAACACAAATAGCCTAATGTACCAAGATTGGAAATTCTGAAGACTTTATTAAAGGGAAAACGGTTTCCAGCTGTACACTATGAAATATTAGTGTCATTTGTATCTGAGGCTCTTGTATTCTGTACATCTTTGCTGTTCCATATTTTCATCCTATCTTCTAGAGAGATCTGTAAACTCTCACTAGTTGCTAGCTATATTTCAAGCACTAGGGAGAGGCCACTAGTAGACATGTGACAGCACAAAACATTTGTTTAGTTTTGGATCAATTTGGATTTTTTATTATTTCGTTTTTTTGGGATTTCGTATCTGAAATTCAATTCAGTTCGGATTTTGGATTTCGTATCTGTCTGAAGTTTAGTTTTGGAACGATCCAAATTTTCGAAGTTACATGACCTTGTCTGTAATGCAACCGCCAAAAAAAAAATCTGATTGGCCAGAGAACAGTCACACGTCCAATGTAATTACATTTTAAATGAAATTCGGACAGATCTGAATTTCATTAAACGAACATTCGGATTAGTTTGCATTCGGACGCGTTCAAATTGGGAGATACGGATGCATTCGAATGCCCGAATTTAATGAAATTCGTACGAATATCCATTCGGAAACAAAATGAAATTGACATGTGCAGGGCTGGATTTCCCACAAGGCCAACCAAGGCCCGACCTTGGGCAGCAGAGAGTAGAGGGGCAGCAGGAAGTAGAGGGGCAGCAGGAAGTAGAGGGGCAGCAGGGGTGTGGAATTCCGATCTCCTGCAGACTGGGACATGCAGATCCGGGTTCTGGGCAGGTAGTTGTTTTCCACATTTAGCTCTGCTTTGGGCAAGCAGAGCTAAATGTACAGTGGGAAGCCACCACTTGTTTTGTACAAGTGATCCCAGTGATGTCGCCGAGATCACTTTTACTGCCATTCTCCATGGGGGGGGGGGGGGGGGGGGGTGGGGCGGGGAG